AGGAGCTCGTTAATAAAAGTGATATGGATGGAATTATAAAAGGTACCAAACGGTACCCGATCCACGCTAGTGCCCCGCGTTCGGAAGAAAACGTAAGAAGTACAGCATCGGAAAACCACTTTGTTCTCTCATGCAGAGTTCGAAATATCACCGAGCAAGAGGAAAGTAATGGATCCCGCAGTTGTGCAGAAGGTGATGCTGTTTTCGTAAATGCGGTAGAACATAAAATATTTACTGAACAAAGGGTAAGCGATTTTTATGAGGTTTAAATATTGAAGACCGGAAAGTGAAAACGAGGTGAGGTTAAATTTAAATGAAAAGAATGAAAAAGTGTAAGAGAATTAACAATACAAATGTACAAGAGCAATAGGGGTTAGATGGAAGAGCAGAAATGGTATGTATGTTTCATTCCATTACTGAATCTCGCCCTTTGTACACATTTCTATGTAATTTAACATAGGTACTTATTAAAGACATTTATTATTATTATTATTAAATTTTCGAGAATATTTTATTGAGAGAAACGAATTTTTAAAGTCAAATGTAGATATTTTCACTGTGTTTGGTAGGTTTCCAGGAGACTACAATATCACCACAAAAGAAAAATTTGTGTCACCCACCAATGAAGATCCCTTTTGCTATTAGAGACTTAAAGCAGAACTAAGTAGGTTAGTAGATAGGAAAGCTATAGTCAAAGTCAATGAAATACGACCAGAATCAGGTATAAATAGGATAGTATTGTCAAATTCTCAAGATTTATTCAATGCCACACAATACAAGAGACGCCACAAAAATGTTTGGATAAAGAAAAGGTAGCCAGTAACCCCCAACTGCTGCCCCTGCCGTAAAGAAAATCGAAAAACCTCCTCCCCATATTTGAAAACCACAAAGGACCCTTCTCCTAAATAACCCCATACAAACCCAACCCCTGGTACTTAGACAATAGACTGTACCGGCTAACAAAAAAGAAAAACACGTATGGAAAAATAAAGAAAGCGTTTATAAAAGAAAGGGGAAATGGATCGGGAAAATGCCCTAGCTGTTGCTACGATCCGGAGACCATCCCCGAAGAGGAAGAAAGAGATATGGAACATAATTAAATATTAAAGTAATATCCGGTAAAAAAAATACGTCAAACTTTGTGAGACAGAAGCGCCAACTAACGAACAGAACAATCCGGCGAATTTGAGATCTTGAACATGCCAAATGCTAATTTTCCCTTAGAATCTCATAGGTTAAATACCCAATTTTACGACTGATCGTAAATGATCCTAAGAATTTGGGGGCCAATTTTGCAGACTAACCTTTACTGGCATCAGACAAAGTTTTATTTTCCTGCCATACCAGGGACCTATTTCATAGAGTTACTTTGCAACTTTTCAGTGGCGTAGTTACGGGTGGGGGGGGGGGGGGGGATGAAGGAGATATATCCCCCCTCAGAAGAATTGAGTTACCTATCATCATAGCTATTAGGTATTTAGGTAATACTCCGCTATCCGCTCCGCCCACTTTAAAATAAAGGCAATAATATATAGGTATATATATATATATATATATAGCAATAGCAATTTTGGTTAAAGTCTAAAGTTACTAAAATTTAAATATTCTGTTGGCAGTCATTGATGCCCAAAATAACAAATAGGTATCAGGTACTCAGTACTGCTACTGAGGTGAGGTACCTGCGTCCTGCCTTTAACGAAAATAAGAATTTTAAATTTTAAAAACAGGAATTATACATATTTACTGCTTACTGCCTACCTATTATTCAAAGTTTTCGTTGACTAATTAAAGCAAAAGCAATAAAGGGGCCTGTCAGCAGTAAGAAATAAAATAAAACTTACTTGAGGAATACCACTACGCAGCAACGAGTAAATGGACTTGCTATGATGGCAATTCATCGGAAGATACAATGTGACGTAGAGAAGGTGATAGATGAATTAGCCAAAAAACCTCGACGGTTGAACTTTGTGCTTTAAAGTTAAATGTTTACTATAGGTGCGTACTTCATTATTAATTATTATACTTGCATTCTTATTCTGTGTATTTCCATTTCTATCCTTGCAATTTCTATTTCTTCCCCCCCCCCCCCTTTCCCCCTTCTAGTACGCACTGGGTGACTGTATGTGACACGAACTTGTTCAATCCCCCCCCAGAATAAATTTCTACGTACGCTACTCAAACTTTTCACTTTGCAGTTTTGAGATAATACTTAGGTACATAAAATAGTATATTGAAAGACAAGTGTTACAATGCGACCTATTGTAATACGACTATCTTGTGGCACGAGTGGTGACGCGAAGCGTAGCCACGAGTGTCCGCAAGATAGGAGTATTACAATAAAGCATTGTAACACGCGTTTTTCATACTATTTTTTCTATTTCGGTGCTTTAATTTAATTAAAAAAATCATTATCAGAAACTATAGGGAACATTAGAACTAACATGTTTTATGTTGGGAACACTTTTTATGCCGTTAAGTTTTAGGTTGGCAGCGTAGTAAGACTGACATTTTCAAGTTAAAACATGGAAGTACCCAACGAAGTACCTACTTGTACTAACTAGTAACTGCCAACTTAAGAGATGAGTTACCAAAAAAAAACGACTATAATCACTGTCTTTGTGCAACTGTTTTCGGCCGAAAACAGTTGTACAAAATCATCATTGTGACACCGAAATAGAAAAACTATTTTGCCACGTGGTTTGTTGAATTAAAGGACAAAATTTCTGATGCTGTTCAGACGGAAAAAACTACACGATCTTTTTCCGACTGCGAGGTGAACAGCGTACGGCGAGACAGCCGCCTTAAGCAACATCCACCGTCTTCTCCTTATTTAATTACTACTCCTTCCACTAAATCATCATACTTCTACTTCCGCCAATTTCAAATGTCATGCCAATATGGAGCGCTTGAGGTGTCTCCTTTTCCACAACAAAATTACACGCAAAATCGTGCACCTGCATCCTTTGTTATCAGCGCCAAACCCACTTGCGTCTTTAAATCAATTAACTGTCGCGATAACATCCTTACCGAACACGACCAGATACCACTTAAATGCACTCGACCGGATGTTCCTTAATTTTAACCAACGCAAAATAGATACTAAAATACCAAATTCCGTTGGAATAAACCAATTCTGCGCTTATTAGTAATAAATGAATGATTAAAATCCACCGCATAATAACAATTGGTGCTGCAAAAGTTCCCATGAAAACCTGCTGCAAGGACTAAGCAATCCTGTGTGTGAAACTTACTAAGCACCAATAAACACTTGTGTGTGAATGTTTAACGTAATGTAACATTAAGGAAAATTTATGGGAAAATGTGCAGCGTGAAGAACGAATGTTAAAATACCTGAAATCAATAATCATATAAAGCAGTATGAACATGTGTATAAAGACGAAATGGCCATAGCAGGCGAAGTTTCAAAAGCCCACATTTAAAATACGCATATCAAAACTCGAGCAAATGAAATGTGTCTAAATAGAATAGAATGTTTTTCATATTATTCTGTTATCGACAACCAACCCAAACAATTATTTGACAACCACCCAGTCGGGTGAATATTTTATCCTGTTATAAGTACTGTCACGATTTCGTGACATATATACGCAATATACATAATATTTCAAGTATTTGTGTCTTCTTAAGTTGACAAAGTTACATTTGGATGATGAGACAAATAATTTAGTACCAATCGGAACGTCATTCGCACGCAACATTGAAATGTTCCGACCTCCATTTTCACATTTCTCATAAATTCCACCAATCACAAACTAAGCAGTACTAAACACTCGAAAATGCTCAACAGAAGGATAAGTCGTTATCGAAAACGTTCATTTTTTATATTAGTGGTTTAGTGGAAAATATCTCAAAAATATTACGTCTCAATTGGATTTAAATAAACTGCGTTCGACATTTAACCAAGAATTTAAAAACGTAAAAGTTGGGATGAATTTACATTTAGTATGAGCAAATTGCGGACATTTTTTCGTATGAAAAGAACTTTTTGATTTCGGCTTTTATAAATGCTCGCTGTATTTTAAAGAGGATTTAATTTAGTTATTTACCTACTTGCAGATAACCGATTGTTAGCATAATGGACTAGAGGGGAATAATTTATGAGGTAATAATAAATGTGTCCAATGAAATTTTGAATTTGATGCTAAAAGTGTAGTGGATCCATGAAGTTACCAGAACATGTTATATAATATCAAAGAGTATACATATACTCTTTGATATTACTTAATAGGTGAGGTGGGCCAGAATTCCTTTTCAAACAATAACTTGAAACTTTCGATGTCCACAAAGTGGGGAATGTAATGGAAATAATATAAATGAAGTTGTTTGTCGTTTAAAAGGGTGTTTTTTGCCTTTTCGCGAACTATTTTGGGTTTGTCGGAGGGGGTAATTGCCCCTGCTGAATCCGCCACTGAGATGGAGTGGTATTCTGTCAACCCAGTCCCCTCTTAGTACAATAACGGGGGTTCCAGAACTGACGTTTCCAGGAAAAAATTCCCGAAGTTTTTTTCTCAACGATTTTATATGTATTTTGAACCGCTGAATCCGAATTATCACTTTGCTAATACGCCAGAGGTGAGCTAACTGCGGCAGCCGCAAATAACCGCAAATTATTTGCGGCATTTTTACATTTTCGCCCATAACTCAATAACGGTAGGTACGTTTTAAAAAAAAAACTATTCTATACAAAATTGTAGTCCACAAAATTTTATACATTTAACATGTAACAACCAAATCTCGTTGGTTTGGTGCAAAACTATCCTAAGTCCATTTTTGTCGCAAATTGACTTAATGATACAGCCGCTATAATTAGAACGCGAACTACAGTGCAACACTATCCTATGTTAACTTTTTCAATTTTACAGTGTTTTAATTAGATAAGACGCATTCTATCCTAACTAACTACGTACTTTTATTTGTATTGAAAACTATTCTATGTCCATTAAAGGGACTTAGGATAGAACGATACTGAAATATACAAATTCACCTTGGTCTCTATACGGGACATAGGCTATGTTTCTATGGTAGTATTTTTGAGTTTGCGCGTGTTGCACGATGCAAACACGTGTCACGCGTTAAAAATCACTTTTCGAGGAAGTGCCTGCATAGCAGATTGTTATTTTGTTGTTTCTACGTTAAAATGGGCGAAAGAGCGCGAAAAATATTGGGTTTGCTGCAAGATAATGCTGGTACACTTGGTTCCAGCACAAATAGAAATACAAGCACAACAAAATCTAATAGTGAAATTGAAGGTAATTAATTAGTGAGTTTGTTTAAACAGTATTATAAATCATTTATTTCACAAGGAAACAACCAAACCGAGTTAACGAATGAATTCCATTTAATGCCGTTTTATGTACCGCACGAAACTAAAACAAGTGGCAATTGTGAGTTTCCTAATAGCAATACTCTAACAGAGTTGAAGAATGTATTTGATGGTTGGGAGTACAATAACGATAACTCCGAAAATAATGAAGAAGGTAATAATTACTTACGTTTTTTATTTAGTTTTCATTATTACACCTTTTCTAGGATTGAATAATGATTCATCTAAATCAGATGAAGACCCATATGCTACGGACAGTGATTCGGATTATGTTCCCGAAGATATAGTTACGATGGAAAAGGAATCGGATTCTATAGAAGTTGCACAAAACCATAACAGTAATAGCCCTCAAAAATCTGACATTGAGGAAGTAAAAAAGTCAAGTACAAAAAGGAAGAGAAATGAAAATATTTGGAAACGGAATGTAGCGAAAACTCTAAGAAATAGTGGGAAATCTTACGTAAACATAAGAAACAAGGTAGTTCGTGAAAGAAAATTAAAGAAGAGTTGTTCAGAAAACTGTCGACTGAAATGCCCACAGAAGATTTGTGAAAACATGCGTGAAAAAATTTTTGCACAGTTTTGGAAATTAGGTGATGTTGATCGACAAAGGGATTTTATTGCACGTTTCGTAGATTTTAAAGAAAAGAAGCGCGTACGTGTCAGAAATTCGACACCATCGTCTAAGGATTTAGACAAAGGAGAACCTGAAATATCAAATACTTCAGATTTAAGCAGCCGTCGAAGAATGACATACTTCTACCACTTCGTTTCAGAAGAAAACAAGCGAGAAAAGGTATGTCAAACGTTCTTTCTTAATACCCTAGACATAAGCCATCAAGTAGTAAAAACGGTCGCAAACCGACTTTCTGGAGTGGAGAACAATAATATTGTGATCAGTAAAGATCAAAGAGGAAAAACCCCATGTACGATTCGCCTTACTGATGAACAAAAAGGTATCGCAAAAGATCATATTAATTCATTTGAGAAAATTGAAAGTCATTATTGCAGAAAAGATTCAGCAAAGCAATACTTACATTCGTCACTAAATGTTTCTAAAATGTATCGAATGTACTGTGAGTATTGCGCGAATATAAATAAAGGTCCTATTCGTGAGTCTGCTTATCGTGCTATTTTTAAAAATGAATTTAATTTAGGATTTCATATCCCCAAAAAGGACCAGTGCGATTTATGTACGAATTTTGAACATTGTGTTGGCAAAGAGAAGGAAGTACTAGAAGCGAAAGTAACTAAACACTTACAAAATAAGGATGTTATAAGGACACAAAAAGAGCTAGATAAACAACGGGCCAATTCCGATCCTAATTTTTGCGTTTGTGTTTTTGATTTGCAACAAGTGTTACCATGTCCAAAAATTGAAGTAGGCCCGGCATATTATAAGTCAAAGCTATCAACTTTTAATTTAACAGTATTCGATATCGGTAAGAAACAGGGATATTGTTTTATGTGGCACGAAGTGATTGCTGCACGTGGGTCATGTGAAATAGGGAGCTGCATCCTTGCTTTTCTTAAAAGAAAGGCGCTGGAGGATAATTGCACAGAATTTTCATTCTACGCTGATAACTGTGCAGGACAAAATAAAAACAAGTTTTTATACGTCCTCTTATTGTATGCTGCGGTTACTTATAACTTGAAAATTACTTTACGTTTTATGGAGGTAGGGCATACACAAAACGAAGGCGATTCAATGCACAGCGTCATTGAAAGATGTGCCAGACGGATACCAGTTTACACTCCTGCACAATGGTATACAATTGCGAGAGTAGCTTGCATCAAAAAACCCTATATAGTAAAAGAAATGGAGCAGAAAGATTTCTTTGATCTAAAAAACTTGCTCTCAAAAACTACCAAAAATATAGATAAAGATGTACTGGGAACTCCTGGAGACAGCACGAAAATAAAGTTTGTGCAAAATTGGCGTCTGTTGCGTATATGCTAAAACATTTGTCAAATTCAGTTTCTGTGAAGGTTCTAAAGTGCGTTTATTATAGCTTTGCACATTCTATCATTAGTTACGCCATCATTGCCTGGGGTCATTCTACAGCAATGAAAAGAACGTTTGCCATGCAAAGGCGCTGTGTGCGGAATATTGTAAATGCTGGCTACAGGGAGGACTGTCGCAATATCTTTAAATCGTTGCAAATTCTAACAGCTCCATCACAATACATTTTTGACTCAGTTTTGTTCGTTCATAGAAATAAATCAAATTATATAACGCATAAAAATGTTCATTCTTACAATACTCGGAACAAAAATCAAATATATAATGATAGATTACGATTAAAAACGTCGCAAGCGGCACATAATTATTGGGGCCCTGTGTTGTATAACCGTTTACCTTCTTGTTTCCAATCTCTAAATGAACAACTCTTTTCCAAGAAACTTAAAACTTTTTTACGCGAAAATCCAATATATAACATCCAAGAGTTTTTAGATAACGACCTCAAGACTTTAACGCCTTAAGTTTTTTTTGTTGTTGTTTGTATTTTTTTTTGTTTGTTTGTTTGGTTTAATTGTTTTATTTCTAAATGATTTTTCATGTTATTTAATATTGTTCTATATGTCTCATGTATTTTATGTGTTTTATGTGTTATACGATTTCGACGGACGAGTGTAAGCATTTTTTAAATGTATTAACACAATAAATTACTTACTTACTTACTTACTTACAAATTAAATGGTCAGAGGTATCATGCGTGTCAGTAGATGTTCATCACCCGGAAGAAATTAGAGTAACTTACAAGTTAAATGAATATGAAGGAGTTATTAATATTGCCGATCGTGCGAGAAAGAAGTTAAACAAGCTATCAGAATATGAACTACTGCAGCTACGCAAAGATGCGATTCCCCTGAAGAAACAAAAGTATGATTCTTTAGTTTATCTTTGTAATCACAATTCAATACTAAAAGAATATCAAGAGTTCTTCATTAACTTACCACACGAAACAGTATAATATTAGTTTTTAAGATCTGCTTACAAAAAATTACGTTTTTATTTCTGGTGTATAATTTTAGTTTATTATGTTTGTTACATTTTGTGCGAATAAAAAAATTAATTTATAAATATATTGATTTTTATGATGACTGACGTTGTGGAACGCCATATTTAAGACTTTTGCAGATGATTGCTATTATTACTGTGTTTAACTTTCTGCATAAAGCATAATTTATGATTACATCCTCATTAGACCATTAGGACATAGGATACATTATGAGTATATTTCGTGGAAAACTAATATCCTATGTCCACAATTTTTGAATTACTACAATTAATAAAATAAATAAAAGAATCTACAGTTACCTATATTACAAACAATATAATAATTACGTTTTGAGTAAATACGGGAACTTATATGCAAGTAATTGCAATTTTAAATCTTTAATTGATATTTTCTCCAAATTGTTCATTTGTGACTTAGGATAGTTTTGCACCAAACCGACGATCTGTAGGACCAACCAGACCGCCGCCAGCGGCCGCGCCAAAACGCCTACTTTTCGTGCAACTTTTGGAAAATGCAAAAATAGTGCTCCGACATATCTATTTAATATATTTTTTCATTTCTTATCAAGTGGTGATATTGGTTTTTCATTTACACGGACTTTTTTGACATTGAAAAGTCACATGTGCTAACGGCAAATGCGGCAAAAGCATCAAAGTGAAAAAAAAAACAAGTGAGTAGTTGAATTTCACTAAAATTCAACGTACAATCAGAATATCCGATTGAAAATAATCTCATTGGCACCGTTACCGCAGTTTGGCATTGCTGCGATTACCGCAGTTCAGTGTTACCAACCTATATTTGACGAAATGAATTGATAGACACAAATATAAAATGAAATGCTCAAAAGCTTTTTATATTGTTTAAGAAATGATAGTAAATTTGAAAAAGTCTACATCTAAAATAATTTCCACACTCTACTCCTTCCTTTTTCATCACTTTACTATATACCTTCTTTCTTGTCTTGACTCGGGACGGGCCAGTCTGACAGTCTTCGTAAGTACCCGGCTGTGGGTTTGTGGATGGACCTGGTCCGCGGTCTGTGGATGCAGTGGACTGGTCTACTGCTACATCGGGTACTGGGGCATCTTCCATATCAGAGTTTGGAACAGAACAGTCCGACGCGCCGGCAACTGCAGTTCCTCGTACAGCCCTTCTTGCACGAGCATGCTACCAGGGAGAGCAGGGTATCTGGGGCTGGGCTTTTGAGGGTGGTAATAGGAACCAATGAGTTGCCAGGTTTCCTCCAGCCCCACTCTTCTGGTGACAAGTTTCTTCCTAGGCTTGCTGAACTTGGTAGAACGTCCTGAAGGAATGTTGACTAGCTGCGGCTTCTGTTGGCGGAAGAGAAGTTACGTTACCAGTGACCTTGTAGGCTGCAGTTACATAGCTCTTGAACCGCAATTTATCAAGAGTGGTTGTTTGGTGGTTCCCACCATACAATTCCACTAGAAATTTCTCCCCTACTTCAGTGATGAAATAGGAAAGAGTAGTGTTATTTGGTAAAACGAGGAAAGAGTCGAAGGAAAGATGGGGAAATAAAAGAGTGGAAATTATTTTAGACGTAGACTTTTTTTTGTTTTTGTTTTTGAACAACATCCTACTTAACTTAGTCATTTCTCCTCCTGTCACACTCTCCTTTCTCGGTTAAGAAAATATCACTCTAAATTTCAATTAACCTTCCATTAAAATTTCAATATTCCGAATTTTTAGGAAATTTTTAGATTTTAATATAAATTTAGGCCTGGTCAGGTATTGACTGCCAGGTAAACAATGTTTTGCTCCCGATTTAACAAGTCATGCAGTTTTAATGTGCCGTTTAGAAATTTAAAAATTCATATTTACATTCAGTATATGATTTAATTGTTTGTCTCTTTATAAGAAACACCCCATATATTATAAAACTTAGGGATTTTCACCGACAGTGTAGTTGGTACACTGTACTTTCTAGTGTACCTATTACCAAAACTTTTACCTGTCAACAAATTTAAAAATTTTAAAAATTTTCTTTGGCTTGGCTCTTTCTATCTTCATTCCTAGGAAATTTGAAACTGCACTCAGGTCGGTCATTTCACTCTTTCGCAAGACGCGCCTTCAGAATCCGCACATGGACAACCATTCCATTACGAGCTGGCTCACTTTGTACCGTGCCGGTTTCTTATCTTCACCTGGGTTTATTTTGAATAGCCATTTGTACGATATAGCATTTCATTCTTCCAGCAGGTTCGACAAGGTTCAGGTTCCGTCCCATCGTTCAAGGTAACAAACGAAACTGCTCTCTGGTTTGCCAAATTCGCCTTCGATTTCGGCTTCTCCTGATTGGTGCTCCAGGTCTACAACGTATTCCTTGGACACCAGATGGACATCATAACAACAATTTGCACAATTTATCCTGCTTCTCGAGTGCCACCTCCTTCTGTACGTACATACGCTGAATCGCCCTCCTGCATCCACAATTGCGTGCCGTCTCGCTGCACGCTATAAGATTCCGCTCCTCCAGCAGCACCCGCATCCGAAACTTGCAGGCGTTGAAGTTCGACCCGTCAAACAAGGGCAACAAGAACCATTCGTTTTTCTCCTCATCCATATTCCCAACACTTTTACGCACACCACGCGGTTGGTGGGACCCGTAACCTAAAGTGTTGTAGGATAATTTGGATGACTAAGAATAAAAATACGTCGACGAAAGAAAAATGCCTTTTCCTTTAATAGAAAAACAAAACGGTTTACTACATTAAGCTACATGGAAATTGTCATGGGCGCAATTCAGTGCTTGCACTCTCTCCAAAAACTACAATACCAATATTAGACCAAAATCAAATTACCTCAAACTTACGTACCCTATAAATGGATTTCGGATTGCTGTATAGGTAAAAGAACTAGATTAAAACCATCGACATATAGAAATTGTCTGCGCGTGCCAATGCTAAGCGCATATAGGTACCTACTGCAGGCGATCGACAGGGGAAACCCTCTTTATTACGCTTATGTTGGTCGTACTGACACAGCAATCTCGATTGTATACGACCTGCAGAAGCGCAATAGACAGCTTTCCTCTTAGTTTTCCCTTCTCTCTTATCTGCAGTACTCGCGCTTAGCATTGGCACGCGCAGTCCATTTCTATATGTTGATGATTAAAACAGATGGCACAACCTAAAAGGAAACGCACTTAAGTAAACAAGGAATCAGATAAATATAACTTTACTTCGGGAAGATATCAACAATTCTCCTCATTCACGTAAATACGTTTAGATAAATAATTTAGACAATGTTAACTTGATGACTCTAGAATTTTCTATTTCGCAAAATATGCGCGTGTCATTTCAACGACAAAGGCCATTCCCCGGTATACTCTGATTTCTCTAAATTTTTCGCCATTTACACCAACTACACTCCTACCACACTAAAGGCGCATTCAGTCAGTTACTCAAACTAAGAGTACATTCAACGAAACAACGGAACGTTATATGCAAATTGACAATCAGAAAACATAGAATGCGTCCAGAAAGCATTGCACTTTTATCTGCCACGGATGTACACCGCAAAGAATCCGAATAATCCAACGTTAATTAGATCAAATATTGCTACAGACCGTCGTTTGAAGAAAATTAATTATATTAGAAAGGAAACATTTCCGACAACCAATTTTCTACCTCTATTAGTTAATTCCAAAGTATACTTTGGCTAATTCATTTGGGAAGTGTACGTTGAAAGTTTGTGTACTAGGGGAACAACGACCATTCGTCTTATTTGCCTGCCACTGCTGCTACCTAAGCTGTTAAGAATCTAATTTTGTTAATTCTGCTGCAGTTGACATTCCTGGGGCTTCGTGAAATAAGATATTAATGGTATTAGTTATATTAGTTTAGTTTTTTAACAAAAATTCCATTTTGAGGTATAGGTATACGCAAATAATGAATGGTTCGATTGAAATATCAAAAGTTGAGAATGGGAAAGATTTCACAGTTACTAATTATGATAAACCATTGTATGGAAAATGTGTTTTTATTCAATGGATGAACGTATAACTGGGGATTCTCCCAGTTCTGCTTACAGAAATCCTTTTAAGACAATTTCATAATGCAATTCCGGTATACAATATATCCTCTTAAATGGACTATATCAAAGCATGAGATACATATAAACCCCATTCCCCCGTGTTTGTTGCTTTAGTATTCTGTGCCCGCAATCGAGAGAGTCCCTCGTGCAACCAAGGCACTTTATTTGAGGTTCTGCTTTCTTTTGTGGGACAGTTTGCCTCACAGGCACCTTTGATGGCCATGCAAAGGTTTGATTCCATGACCTTCGGCCGAGTTATTGACTGCTGCGGGTCATTTCTCGAGATTGACCTTTAGATTCTCTCTATAGAGTTCCTACTTGGTTCTTCTCGGATCTCTATACACGGCTACAGCCGCTTCGTTTGATCTAATGTGAAAACGAATACCATACCATTTGTCTACTGAACTGCAGTTATGCCAATTACCTCCCTTATTATTGACGAAGGTCCCTACTTTAGCTGTCTCTAGGTTATTGTTGAAGACTAAGCTCTTCTGTTGATGTCGGTGCTTCCCCACACAATGTAGTTCGCATTGGCACCACATCCGAGAAGGAGTTGCCATCCATGGTTTGAAATGGTTGATGGAGGTGCTTGGTATCCTC